CTGAAAATCCAAAATCTTGTATACCAGATGGTACAAGAGTCTCGATTGATAAAAAACTAACATATAATCCCTGTAGTCCTTTTCAAGTACTTGATTTATATGGCTTGACTGCAGTCCAGTGTTCTCGCCAGGATTAGATTGAAAATTGCTAACCATGCCAACAGCAAAACAAGATATCAGGCTGGTACCACAACATTCATACATAAGGCTTCAACTGCAAGGAAAGCATTAATGGAACTGCCTCATTGTTCTCTATCTCCTCAGGTGTCTTTAGGACATGTCCTTAGATATGAGTGATTCCATGTCTAAAGGGAAGAAAACCCTTTTTGAATCCTGGCATGCTGAAAACCGAGCGAAGAATGCGTATCAATTAAAGTGCTTGAGAGAAAGCCAATCATCTTTTCTTGCGATCTCGCAAAGCTTAATCCCAAATATGAGCAGCCTCTCCAATCCTTCATTATCAAACGTTGGGATAGCCAATCTTTGACAGAATCAACAACCTACCACATGATTTCCCTATATAGCAGGAATATCATCAATTATAGTACCAGAAAAAAACAAACCTTACTACCATTCCATTTCTTATACAACACAAGATCATCATGACACTGATCAAAGCCAAAAATTTTTGATCGCCTGGTTCAAAACAAGTATTTTCCAATGACTAGATGCTTGTTTTAAGCCCATAAATGGACGCTATTCATTTGCAAAGAAATTTTCTTGTCCATTGTTTATGAAACCTTCTGGTTGCTTCATATAGATGCATTCAATCAAGACTTCCATTTAGGAAACTGTCTTGACATCCATTTGCCAAATCTCATTTAATCATAATGAGCTGCAATGGATAGAAAGAGTGCTAATAGACTTTTTTAGCATGACTACCGAGCGAAAAAGTTTCTCCATAATCGATCCCTTCTTTCTGTAAACCCTTCGCAACAAGCCTTGCTTATAAGTTTGCCTTTTACCGTCTATACCCTCTTTTTTATAGATCCACTACATCCGATGGGTTTAACCCCTTCAGGTGTTCTACAAGTTCCCAGACTTGTATTAGAGTACATTGGATCCATCTCAATTTCATTAGCTACAAGCCACTTTCAGCATTCTTTATCTTGTAGTGCTTCATTCGTAACAGAACAGGTTTCAATATTCACTTCTTCAGGGATTCATATCAAAAGCTTTCTCCCAAAAGTGTTATATCGAACCGGTGGTCGTCTAATTCTCCCACTGACGACGAAAGTACTACAGGTTTCTGCACACACCTTCATTTTGCTGTGGCTTGCTAAAGCGGCAAGTCCTATGTCGGTGGGACTACATCTTGATTCATGTTCTTGGAACTTCAACATGTCTGTCAATCACAGGAGCAATGAAATGTTAGAGCCCACATGTGCTCCTGTATCATTTGGATCAACGTGCCACTAGTTCTACATAACTCCCACTACTTCAGGTGGTAGTGAAATGTTAGGTACTGAATATTCAGGCTGATGTTGATTTACTGAATCGACGTAAATTCTTCCACTTACGGACTAGGCAATGGTAATGTCAGCTCCAACCATTGATGGTTTAGGTTGTTGTTCTAATGGAAAGGTTCTAGTTGGTATTTTCCTCTTCAATTATAACAAGGCAATTTGACTTTTGGGGAATATGGTTTTTAATAGTAGTCTTCCTCAAGATTAATGTGCATTGGTGACTAACAATGACCGTCTTTATTCTTGAGAACTATAAATAAACCACACTTTTTCGTTCCTCTAGGATATTCCAATAAAGAAGCATAAGGTCTGTTTTTGATTTCCAAGTATCTGCTTTCCCTTCAGCACATGGGGCTGGAC